GACTGAAAACATAAATCTTAATTAGATTTAGTATTAATTTGTAACTCATTTGACTGTGTAGAAAACTTGCACCACTGTGCGCATTCAACATTAAAGATATGGTTCATGACAGAAGGTGTTCAATGCATCATTTTTCACTGGTAGCAAGCACGAGAGATGATTGAGATAAAATATTTTTTGCCACAGAAATAATTCTCATCAGCCTTTTATTTTTTTAAAAATGTATTTTTCTAGGCTATTTCATTTCAGAAATTCTCTGCAACTGAAACATTTACATAAATTACAAGTATCATACTTTTTACATTAGGAATATTAGGTCTTTAGGTGAATGTCAACTTATGAATGATAAAGATAACAGTTCTTAATAGGAGACAGCTGTAGAAAGTTACAGAAAGTGATAAACTAGAAGAATTAAAAGTACTATGCTACAAAGGTGTGGATGGAGTGGTGGATAGATAAGATGACCATTTTGCTAGAATCTAAAAAGCTTCTGAAAAGTAGCCTTGCTTGTTCATTTTAGCTCTAAGATAGAGCTTATATACTTTGCTTATGCAGGAATTAAAAGCTATCTATCACAACTACAAATACGTAAGGATGTAACTTAACACCACCGAGGGTTTTGTCTGATTCAGTGTTAACTAAAAAATGGATAGCTAGGGAAGGGACAGATAACCAGCAAGTAAAGTAGAGACTTTGTCTTAAGCAGAATATAAGGAGTGTCGGGAATGAAGTAGCAAGATGGAAAGAAAAAAACGCTCTCATCTTAAAAGTACTGTAACAAGTTCCTTAGGATGCTTCAAGATCAAAGATAACACTGAAAGAAACTTTGCACACTGAAGTGGAAGAACTGAATATCAGTGAGACTGATGATCTTGCAAAGTGAAATACTTTTGAACACCTCTTGTCACTGAAATGTATTCCTGGTGATAATTTAAAACCTGTCCTTGGTCTTCTATATCTGCTTCATTTGACTTTGACACACAACATTGCCAAAAATTAAATATTGATTACGTCACTTATGTATGGGAGAAGTGAAGACTTCAACTTGAAAGCTTTAATTTTCTTTTATACTAATATATCCCTAAGAGTAGAACAAAATTAGGAGTTTGAAGGAATGACTCAGTCATTTGCTCTGTATATATTCTTTTAAGTTATCTGAAGTTATAGATCTAAAATTTTATACTGTAAGTTTAAAAAAAGCCCCAAGAGTCAACATTAATGCGAACATAAAAAAATTTCTCCATATTTGTAAAAGGTATTTTACACTAGGCAGTGTATTGCTTTTGTATCTGAAAAGAACATTGCATTTAACGTCATGAAAATGCCAACCACAAACATACACAAAAATATAATAAGATCTTAGAATCTGAGCAGCTACTGGAAATGACAAGAAAAACTTGCAAGCCACACTGTGTCATCCTAAACTTTTATCATGTGAGTATTCAGCAAATTCATCTAACCTTATTGAGAAAGCAGTAAAAGTTTAAAAAGACCAAAACTATATTGTAGAAGACAAAAATATCTGTCATAATCACTATCAACTTTATGGTTGAATGACTGAAAAAGGGAGAAAAAGGGAGGACTGTTAGTGCAGTTTTCCCCTGAGTAAAACTTAGGTTGCCTCTATATCTGAATCCATCTACTATAAATATGGTTTAAATGCTCTTTGAGCTGCAGTGGATTTTGCTTGAAACTCAAATGCAATTTAGAGAACAAGGAAGGTGTTCTACAGAGATTTATTAAAAGCTAACAAAAGCAAGTTTGCTTAGTTTTAGTGATGTACCTAATGATAGACAGAGTAGTCCCAATGGAAATTTGTCTTGAGAAGTTCTGACCTCCCAAGAGGCTACAATGAAAAATATAATTACTTCTTTTATCAGGAAATTAAACTTTTGAGGACTGATTGAAATATACAGGTTCAAACTCAATATTCATCATTTACTACTTTGTTACAAACAGAGATTTTCAGAAAACATGGAAGATGAAGTGTAAACAGTAAAGCAAATTTAAAATTAAATGTTGTATTTTGTCTACATGATCTGTGTGTATATATAAACAACATTAGGTTTTCCAAAATATAATTATGAAAAGGTAAAGACTTCTCCTAACAGATCAATCAGAAGTATTAGTAATGCACTCTCCCATACCTTCTCTCCAGTACCCCCATGCATTAGTAACCTGCTGCTTACATTCATTCAACAGAGGTGCTCCCGTCATTGCAGAAGCTTGATTTTTTTTCTGAGACACACAACTTTCCGCTATTCGGCAAATTCAGTAAGAGAGATGTAAGGGTTTATGTACAGGACAAAAAAGATACAACAAGAAAATGGTACAACAAAATAAACTGGAATATGTAGCTGACAAAGAAATATAGTGCCACAAGCTCTATGGCTAGACCACTACTCCAAACAATATGTATAATCAAAGAAAACTAAAATTTTTTTTTGCTGAAACTTCCTCTCCTTTGTTTCATTTCATATATATATGTTTTGGAGCCCTGAAATGAGTTCCTAAACCAGCACATGAGAATATAGAAAAGATACACACTTGCAGATTAAAGAAGAAAAAAAACCACCCTGGAATATCAACTGGATGCTGAAGTACAATTTATCTTTATTCTCACTACTGTGTGGATCAAGAGGTCCAGTGTAAATTTAATTCGTACTGCCTTATTAGAAAGCCAGGATCCAGAAGGAAAAACACAGTAAGTGAAGACATTTAGACATATTGACAATCTTGAAGAATATGAATGAACCACATTTCTTGAAAAATTCAGATGATGTTTGAGAACTTGAGGGTACTGAAAAGGACTGAACAAAAGGTAACAAGTAGTTTGTTTGGTTTCTTTAAAGTGATAGGTAAAATGAACCAAGAGCTCTCTAAGTGGCAAAGCAGCTTACACTTTGTGCAAAATCCAACCTCTAGGTAATGGGAACAGATGAGATCATCCTTCAAGTTTATTTTCCAGTTGGGCTTTCCTAGATCTTTCCCTATATTAGCTTGTACCACCCACTTTCAAAAGACACAGAAAAGCTAGACGAGCCAGATGTTGCATGGCAATTCCTGTTGTAAAAGTGGTGTGGTCTCACACATTTTGAACAAAATCTGATTTTGCAGTAATACATGAAAAACAGGACTTAACGTGAAATACCAAAGCATGATCCAATTACGGTAAGAGCTCATCTCAACTAATTTCCCAAAGAAGAGTTTCAGATTTTTAATCTGTTTCAAAGTTCTTGTAGTTTCCTTCTGTAATCTCTGAATCTTTGAAGATAGTCTAGAGGAGTGCATTCTGCTTCACAACAGATAAGCTTTACTCCTTCCCATTGTGATAACCTTTCTGAAAATACATTGGCTTCATGTAGAGCTATTTCTTAGCAGTGCTGTCTCTTTTTTATGCCTGTTACTGGTCTCCTTTGGTTTTCTTTGGACAATTTTGTTTTGTCAACAGGCATAAAACTCAGTGCAGTTTCTCTGTTTCACATTGCTCTTCTGCTCTGAGTGTTCTAATGTAATAAGCTCTGAGTTTTTATTTTTAAGCCGTTGAACAAGGGACAATTGTTTAGCAAAAAAATGAAAGAGCCGCTTGCAGATAGAATTCATTGAACATCTTAAGAAAAGTAGACTATATAATGAAGTTCAAGTATGCTGTCCATCAGAATCATTTTGATTCTATTACAGTGAAGGTGAGTACTGCATAAAACAATCCCATAGGCTAAACCAAAACATTTCTATGGGTGGTTGCCAATAAATCTTGTTTGCTGACAGAAAAGAATGAGACAGCAGGAAAGAAGAACTAGCAGATGCTGGCAATCACTTTAGCACGCAGAATAATCTTCAAGGATCATGAATTAGATGAGGAAGAATGTTATTGTTCGCCATCTGCTAAGGGTCTATTAGTATGTCAGCATCTGGTGCCACAGAAAGATCTTTGTGATGTGAATGCACAGAGCGATTTCAGACAGAGTTTTCTTCTGCTGAAAGGAATCCTGCCAAACGTAGGCATTACAGGCCTTGCCACTGGTCAATTCACTTAGTTTTTGATGTATGCTATTTAGTTTGATAAAAAGAGAACATAGTAGAGTTCACCTCAATGATTAAATAGTATAGCGTAATCAGTAAGAACCAAGTAATAATCCCACAAGGTTGGCATTAAAACTTTCTTTCTATTCAATTTAGGCTGGTTTTTGTTTCCAAATGTCAGGCAGCAAATATCTAAGTTTGAGCAAAACCAGTTGGTTTGAAAGTGTCTTAAACCGAACAATAACAAAGTGGGGCACAGAACTGCCCCAGCCCAGGACAGAAATTTGCACATACGTTTTGTCGACAAAATACTACTTGCTTAATGTTGTTACTCAGTGGCAGGATTATCTATGTTCCTGGGGATATTAAAGACATTCAAGGTGTTAACAATTTCATATTCATGATTGATATTGCAAGAGATAACATTAAACTTCAGTAACCATAACGTGTTGGTGGACCCACATATTAAGTTGTGCAACAGTACACATGGAATGAACTGTTCTGTCTTGCGTTTATCTATTACTTAGAATGATACAACCCTTGCATGCGAACCAACCTTGTTCAGCAGAGACAATACATGAATCTGATAGATTATATGTTTGAGCATGGAGCTTGCAAGGCATAAATGTACTTACTTTTGGTGTTGGGCAGGATGCAGTGGAGAGACGAGAGGTGGCCTGGGCACGAGGAGATTCTGAAGGAGTAGTACTGAGGGAAGCTGTATCACGTGGGAGCACCTGAACACCACGAGAGATGATGGAATCTGGAATCTTAAAAAGAAGAGAGATAGAATTAATAGTAAAAAATATACTGTATTTAAAACTTAATCAAAACCTTACATCAAAAACAGAGGAATACCCCACTCCCCAGTTTGCACACCTCCTCATATGCAGTGCTGCAGTGGTTACAGAGACAATACATGAATCTGATAGATTATATGTTTGAGCATGGAGCTTGCAAGGCATAAATGTACTTACTTTTGGTGTTGGGCAGGATGCAGTGGAGAGACGAGAGGTGGCCTGGGCACGAGGAGATTCTGAAGGAGTAGTACTGAGGGAAGCTGTATCACGTGGGAGCACCTGAACACCACGAGAGATGATGGAATCTGGAATCTTAAAAAGAAGAGAGATAGAATTAATAGTAAAAAATATACTGTATTTAAAACTTAATCAAAACCTTACATCAAAAACAGAGGAATACCCCACTCCCCAGTTTGCACACCTCCTCATATGCAGTGCTAGCAGTGGTTAATGGCATGTTCTCATAATTTCAGTAACAAATATCTAGCAAATATATAAGATCATATTCTAACTGAAGTAGTATAGAACATACTATTTGTTCTGAAAAACCTATGAATCAGACACACAACAGGAAATAATAAGAAAGGAATTTTCTTATTTTTTATTTATTAATTTGTTATTAATTTATTATTATTATTTATTTTATTATAATTAAGCGGTTTTTCCTCTTAAGCCTCAGTTTCAAACTTAACAATGACCAACAGTGATTTCTACCATGGCAAGAAGGGAGGCAGACTTCCCATTCTGTAACTAGGGGACAACATTCTGAACAGAAAACCACTTATTAGCAATGACTGAACCCCTCTGAAGAAACGTCATGCAGTGAGAAAATCTCTCATAAGAAATGTCATGCAGTGAGTAAATACTCTTCATTCCATGTATTGAAGACTTTATTTCAGCTACAAAAACTCTTGGTGTAAGGTTTGTGTTGCAAAAGCTACATGCCTCTCTGGAGGGAGTACAGGCACTAGAAACCACCATCCAAAGCCAACACTTGGTTTAAAATGCATTCTGAAGGGAATTCCAGAAAGCTGGAGTTTTAGGGACAGATCCTTTAGCTGGTATTGTTAAGTCACTTAAATAAATGAAATTACACCAACTTACAACAGTGAGAAAGTTGTCTTATTTTCAGTAATAAAAGCAAATCTATCATTTTTTATCTCCTGTCTCTTCTGTTCAGTTTTATCACAAGTTCCAAAGAAAAGAGGTAGAAGAATGCATTTAAGAATAAAGCTTTTCTTAGCTTTAATATACCGAGTCTTAGAAAGTCTGTTGCTTCTTATTACTGCAGTATTTGGGCCCAGTCATGCAGATATCACACTGGCTTTATAATTGACTGGATTAATTTTTTATTTTTTGTGTAAAATGGTAAGACATATGAATGATAAATACCTCAGATAGGAGAACTGATCTCTAACATTAGTTCTACAACACAAAATGCAGCAGATATTCCGCTATAACACACTCTCTACAAAGGCTTATTCTGATTTTATTGTCATGATTTTAACCTCTTCCTTTTTCAGAGGCAGCACTTCTACCAGATCAGACTGCTCTTACTTCCTGCAATTCACTTTTCTATCACAACAGACAAGAAAATGTAGAAATTCAGGTCTTTGATGGAATATATACACACAGTTTAAGATCTTTCTGCTCATTAAGAATTTCTTAGCTCAGCCTGATGTTCAAGTTCCAAGAGAACCACCAGAAGAACCCCCATGTTTGGAGGAAATGGCAGTAGCAGACAATAAAAGGAAGCAAGAAATGAAGATCCAGGGACAAGCCAAACCACTAACACTGGACATTTCCAGCCAGGATTTTTTTTTTAAATGGAGATGCTGTACCCAGTCTGCATCTAGGCATTTTGAGCATTCTTGCCTAGTAAGGCTTTAGGGCAAATAGAAGCCACTGGAAAGTACCTCTTTCCAGGAACAAGCTTAAACCCTAGCTTTTAAAATCTGTTGCATCCTTAGGACCAGTGTCAGGATATTAAGACAGCTTTGTTGCTTGTCTCTGTGCAGTTAAAATCACCGATCTTAAGGCTCAAGTCATTACATACTGCTTTTTTATGTCTTTTTTTCCCCTCAACTTCCTTGGTTCCCGTCTATAAATAATGACTACATCTAACTTAGCAACCTTGACTTAGAGATACTGGGTTATACCTAAGGGGATCTTATTTCACCATAAACCTTCCTCTACCTGTTAGAGTTTCTTATATTTATAACCTGTTTATAAGTTGTGTGGAAACAGATCTTGCTCTCAGTATGCCACCAACTGCCTGCTTTCTGCTCTACTGCTGTGTTTCTAGACTGGCAGTATTTTTTGCCAGTCAATTTCTGTCAGCATTTAAAAACCCCCAACTTTCCTCAGAGGATCTTTCAAGGCTAAGTAACTTATGCTGCAATTTCCACTACAAATTATGAAGTCAGCAGAGTTTCTCTTCACTGTGGACAATTATGCTGGGGATATCTTCCTCTCCAGAAACGGTGCCTAACTGGCCTCTACTTGGAGTACTCTGATTTGCAAATGGCATCTTAGAGATGTACTATAAATAGAGGTAAACAGGGACAATGATATTCTGATCATGCAAACAGTTTGTACTTTTAATCTCCACGACTAAGGACAATACAGCAAAAAATTATGTTTTGATAAAGGCATAAAATAAAAAAAGACACAATAAAAGAAAGTATAGTTTTAAGTCTTCAAATAAGACACCCTTTCTCTAACCTCCTCTGATAAAAAGCTGCACACATCTTGATATGATTCTGTATGGGTCCATTACCTCTTTTATATACTTAAAGATCCCACAATACAAATACAATATTGCTTGTGCAAATGATACCATGATCCAGTTCTCCCTGAGTTTACTCTGGTTACTCTAGAGTAACCAGATATTACATATTGTCTCATCCCCTTCAGGCAAGTAACTGTTTTGTTTTTCTTTTTCTATCTACCATATCCATCAATCATTGCTTCTAAAATTTTATCCAAAATCACCTTTTTCAGAACAAAAAACTCTCTCTGCAACAAAATGACTGAGACAATTCCAGTCTCCATTGAACTGCATGTGAAATATTAATTTTTGCCTGTGAGAAAATTACAATTTAAGTAAAATTTCAGCCAGGACATTAATCAGAAAAGGAAGCTGACAATAAAGGGAAACGATGATTACAGGCATTTCATTTCAATGAGAATTATTCCCTAATTACTACCTTTACAGAAAATACAAATGCCATAAAACAATCCATATATAAACCTACCTAGAACTCTAAGTTTCAGCTTGCTAGCTTTTGCAGACACAAAATCTCACTGAGAGAATTAAGTTAGTTCACAGTTACAAATTTTGCTCTCGAGAGGTTTATTTCTCTAATATGACAGCGGAGTCTGTTGTATTGCTAAACCCAGCACTAATATTCTCTTTAAACCACTACAACCTGCTGATTTCGGAGAAGGTACTAATATGCATACTGCATAAATATATAAAAAATGTAATGGATATATACTGTTCATTAAGTGAAAGAGACAATAGAATATGATTGGTATTTCTATGCATGTATGTTATGTGATATGGGGAATGTCTCATTTTTCTCACCTACATTTAATAAGTTTTTTTCCTTTTAAAATTAAATTGAGGCAATCTACGCCTCTAATCAAGACAACTTCTTGTTAACCCTATTAAAGACGTTGATAAACCCATAAGAAATTTCCGTGTTTCCTGGAACCTGGAAATCTGCAATAAGGAAGGGCAGGAATATTATTATGTTTTGGATAGATTATTGTTTTTTAAAACTTCCACAAAGTGAAAGTCTGAGTATTTATGATGTCTCCCCCTGAAGTTTTTCAACTCATTTGCCAGTTGCAAACAAATTTAATAGAGGGTAGAGGTCCAAATCTCTAAATGGGGTACAATAAAACTCTAAGTTTAGTGAAAATAGTTTCTGTTTGCACTAGCTGGAGTGGAAAACCTGTTGTAACATACTGATGGAGAAAGAAATGAATGAGAAATGAATGAAGTGACAGAGAAAGATATCCACCATATCCATCAGTTATTGCTTCTACAATTTTTATCTGATATAAAAGTACTTCTGGAAAAGGTCATATGGGTTTAAATATTTGTGTTTTCAGATTAGAGAACTAAATGTTGACAAGAAGGGGAAAAAGGAAAAGATATGAGCTCTTTATTCTCTTTTGCCCAGGACTGGAACAAAGATTGACAGTGCTGGTGAGGTACTAAGAAAACAAGCTGTAGATGGTAATTACTATGATTGTTATACAAAAGCAAAAATGTCTTAAAAACATTGAGAGAGGACAGCTTAAAAAAACAACAACCTTCTGAAAAACTAGCCACTTCCAGCTCTGAGTTTGAAGATCTGATTTGGATTACAGAATGCATAAAACAATAGCTCAAGAGTAATTTGCAAAAGGGCACAGAACCCTCGATGACAGCTTAACAGCGTGCTTCAGAGAGGCTGAATTCGCCGTTTTACTGACACTGAGGAATATGGTGCAAATTCTAGTTTAGTAATCTCAACTAAAAAAAATGAAACTATTGGAATAAATGTGTGTGTTTTTATGTATGTACACATATATAGCTTTATCATCAGGTGTGTGAACTTTAAAGCCTTCACATTTCCTAATTGACTTTTCAAGAGACATGGTCATCATGTTTTAAATACAGAGGTGTTACGCTATTTGATTGATGGTTTAAATTACTATTTGCCTAAGGGAACAAGAAGGTGCAGCCTCTGGTCATCAAATCTAGTGACATATTTTCCCAAGAACTTATACCCCGTTTGCTGCCTGACATGGAATGAAAGGTGAGACAGCACAACTCTCTCTAGGCCAACTGCCTTCCTTAGGTTTCTCTAACCCACAGTTATTAGTACAGTAAATTATGTTTCATTCCTGATGATACTGTAGCCATTATTCTATCTTGATTCAAGCCTAGGCTAAACCTTTGGGAGACAGAAAACAAAGTATAGTATTTTGTTAGAGCCTGAGTTATAACCTCTGGGTTATAATAAACTAAGTCCTTTCTACCATTCATTGAAATAGTTGCCTACTATTCACTAAAATCCAGTAATTTATAGTAAAGTCCACTGTATCCTGACTCCTCAAGTCTTTTCTTCTGTTTTTGAGAAATTCTACTTCTAAACAGAACACAAAAATAAGGGAGGAACTGCAAGTGATGAAAGCAAACTATGAACACCCAGTGCAAATGCTGTATTATGTTGACAAACTAACTATTGAGAGAAAAAAGCAAAGCAAGGCAAACGAAGGGGAAAAAGATACCAAAATTTCATAGCTCTAAAGCAGTAGTTTTAGGAGATTATTTTAATTCTATTCAATTATTGAGTATATTAGATGATAAAGCCGATGACTAATCAGAAACACAGGCTTTATAGCAACGATTATCTCAGCAGCCAAATGATTCAAACTGGCAATGCATGCAAACTTTACCTTGTTTAGCCCTGTATCTTAAACAGAGTATTTTCTGTAGCATGTTCTCTAAAAGATAGCACTGATGTGTATTTGTTAGAAGAAAATAAGTAACACTGTCTGTTCACACAGTAGACTAGGAGGCAGGCAGTGTATTTTTAGCTACTGTTAGTGCAAAAGCCTCTTGGACGTGTCTCTTACCGGTTCTCCTGCACTGCCTGCTGCGTGATGGCAATAACTGATGAGACCAGGGATGGGCTGTTCACCTTTTGCCATGATAACAGCTGAACTGGTGTAGGATGGATGCTTCTAATGCACAACACATAACAGCTATGAATACAGTGACAGGAAAACATGAAACTATACAAGCAAATGACTGAAAGAATGAGGTGAAAACAGGTGTGACACTGAAATGCCAAGCTCATATGAACACAGCCAGTTTAGATCTCAGGTATTTTCTGCCTTTAAAAATTGCACTTATTATTTATCTTTGCCAATATCAAAAGACGTTAATCAATTTGAAATTTGCATTAATAAAAACTGAAACTTGCAAGTGGTAATTACCTTAATTCATCCCTGTAAAGACATATGTAATCAGGATTTCCTGCACATGAGGAGATGATCTCCAGCTGCAGCTGTCTTAGAAATGTCAAGATGTCTCAGACCTGAATTCACATTTCTGGAGTTAGAATGTTGCTGCTTTGGTTTAGAAATTGTTTAATATAGTTTTGAGTTACTTAGACTTTCAATTCCCACAATAGGAATTAAAAGTACAATTTGTGGAGTAAATACAGAACAAAGCAGTTTGGAAAAAACCCTTTCCAAACACGTAGGAATACATTGTCTTTCCATTTGAAAACTGAAGACATAAAACTGAGGTAAATATTTATATATTGCTTCAAATAACATATTTCTTTGGAAAACATTTAAAATTTGAACTGAAATAATTTGCAAGTGTTATCTAATTTTTTCCTTTTGTAGTCTCAAATTTATTGTTTTGGTTTGAGTAATGTTGATCTATAATTACTGGCTAAAGCAAGTCTATAAAGACAATGTGATGACATTTAGTTTTGCGGCAGAATTTCACATCTCTTACGTGGACATGCACACTGGAATACAGTAGTCTGGAGAGCTTATTGCTTAACCTGCTACCTATCTGTCATACTTTTTATCAATGTTTTTAGAAACCAACATTTTCTTTTCAAAATAGATATTATGGCTTAGAAAATTTTGTTGCGATTCCTTAATATGCCACCTACTGGACTTTGCATGTTCAGGTGTGTGAGTACTTTGAATTAAAAAAAAACACACTAAAAATAATCTGTCACATCAGAATGGTATCATAAAATTATGTTTTGATAATGACGATGGTTATCGTCAAGATAATAAACAATATATAACTCCCACTGAAATTTGAGATCACCTACCAAAACAGGATTAATATATTTTTATGAAGCTATATTTCTACAAAACGTACCTAAAATACATCGCTTTGACCACACAGACGTCAATGTACAGTCTTAACATGCAAATGAATATTGGTGGAAAGTACCTGAGCTAGAAACTAAAGGGTCTCTTAGGGAAACAAGCCAGACTCACCTTAGCTGCAATGGCTGCTGCCGTGATATGTGAAGAAGAACTGTCCTCTGTTGAGGCAACTCCACTATCCTTCTTCTCTTCCTCCTCTTCCTCACACTGTACTCCTTTGTCTTCTGTCTGCTTGTGAGGGCTGGTGGTTGGAGGAGGAGAAAGAGGAGGTGGTGGTGAAGGTAGATCTTCAAGCTCATCATGTACCTCCTTTACTTTTACAATGGCATCCCGCAAAAGATCAATGGCGTGAGGTAGGGCTGGCAGTATAAACTGAAAACATTCCTATGCACAACAAGAAAAAAAGACTATGAAAAGTTACCTGCAGATGTAAATAGGGATTTTTCAGATTTACTCTTAAAAGATATTTGGGATTTAGATGTATCTTCTCACCCGATCATAAATAAAACCTTAAATGCCCTATGCAATTGCTCATAGATGGTAAAAAACCAAACTCAGAACCAGAACTGGGGACTATACTATATATTTTTGCCTTTTTTCATGCAAATATAGTAAGTTGTACAATGGGGCTACTGTAATTAAGCTAATATTGGATTAAAACTTTGGAAAACAAGAGTTAAATTTTCATGAATACATAATACAGAAACTAGTTCACAGCAGTTGGCAGAATGCTACAAAAATGCAGAATAAAAACATTAACTCCATCCCTGCAGGGATATTAGCTTCAAATCATTCTAATATGTTCCTTCACAATTAGAGAACAATTCATAAGGGTTTCCATAATTAGGCTTTTATATAATTATATCCTTTTTTATTCATGGTCTTATCCTATATGCTGGAAGAATGACAAACTACACTGATGTCATTATAATTTTATGTAACTCAGAAAAAAATGTTGATAAATAACCTATTTTTCAAACCTTTCCTTGCTCTAGAAGCTTAAAAGCAATTAGAAAGTTTATTTTATATGGCTGGAGAAAGCAAAAATGCAGACACCATGTAACTGTTCTTCTTGTTCCATAAAGGGCATATACATATATAGCTACCTCTGCTGCTAAAATATGCTAGTATTTCATCAAATCAAAGAGGAACTTCAGGACATCACGCACTGCAGCCTCCTGCTCAGATCAGGGTCAATACAGAATTCAGACAGGTTGCTTAGGGCTTTCTTCAGTGAAGTCTTGAAAAAATCCAAGAACAGAGACTCCACAGCCCTTCTTGTCAACCTGTTCTAATGCCTAATTACCCTCAAAGTGATTTTCTTTTTCTTTTCGTTTTATCCAGCTGGAAGCTACCTTCTTCAATTTGTGACTATTGTCTCCCATCCTCCTCCCAGACACCTCAGTAAAGAGTTTTCTTCATGTCATTTGAGCAGACTGCATATAAACATTAAATTATTGGAAAATGATGGCAGGGTCACAAGAATGAATTGCCATGGCAGTGCAGTTAGGGAACATGTAAGTTGACAGAGAAAGCTGACATTATTCCTTTTGTTGCACTTCATTTTCGGTTTTGTTTCAAGCATAAGGAAGATTTTTAAAAATGTATTCCAACATTTTAGAGTATCCAGAAAATAAATAATGATAAATATTTTGTAAATAGATACTCTGCCAAATATTTTCAATAAATAAAAATGACTATTTTAAGAAAATAAAGAGCAAACCATTCATCAGAAATTACTAGAGTTTATATAAGCCACTTTGTAAGTCAAAAACATGACTCACAAACACTATTTCCTCAAAGCTTCTAAATAAGAACCCACCTTTCAGTTGCTCCGTTAAGAGTAATGAAAAGTCAGACTACTTCATAGATTTATAAATTCTTTAAACATTCAATTTGGCACTCTGAAGAACTGGAGTAAACTGGATGACCATAAAATGCTGTATATAATGAATATATATTAAAATATATTTGTAAACATAATAAAGAATTATAACTTCTAATGTAACTGCAAACCTTGGAGTTATTGTGCCTTCACAATATTATTTTAAAAATGGTTTAAAATACTGAAGCATACAACCATCATTACTTCAGTAAAAAAGCAGACCTCAAGTAAGCGGTAAACAAGGACAACAATCTGTGAACTGACCAATAATCATGAAAAGGTACATTAATGATTATCTCATTAGAGAAGCATGTCCCCCACTCCTACCACTGAAATAAAGCCTTGTTGACTTGACTGTTGATGAATAGGTTCCCAGTAAGTACTCTAAAAGCTCATGCTATTTGTAAAATTCATTGTTTTAGGCAATTGTTAGTACAATTATGAAAATTGCCATAGACTCAGTGATTTCAACAAGCATCTGGTAATTTCACACTTTGCCCTCTTTCATAACATGAAATACCTTTTGCAAGGCTAAAAGAAAAGAAAACAGATCAGAACAACACAAAAATGGAAGTATTCTACAGATCCTGATTCAGTGGTACGTGCCACACAAACGTTCCCTGGAGAAAACACATTTGGCATTGTGTCCATTTTTGAGATGGAACATTTACACTGCTGCCATTTTCTATTAACATTTTATTAATGAAATATGTATACTGCTGCAATTTCATAGCTTTCTACAAGCTTCTTATATGATTGTATTAATATGGTGGAAAGGAAATTAGCAAATCATAAAAGAGAGAACTGAGAGAAATTTCTGGTAACAACCCGTCCTATTTGGTTCTTGAGAGCCAGCCTGTTACGGAGCAATTTTCTCTACTATTAGTCTTAAAAATCTTTGCTGAAATCTGATACTTTAAAGATGTTTCATATTAAAATAAATTGTGACAGAACAAAGTCTCATCATGACAGGAACAAATAAATAATCAGTTTATAAAAAGCTTGCTTGTATAATGAAATCATATGACATTTTTTTCTTTTCCAGCAGAATTACCTTTTTTATTACTTACTTTATATCAAACTATTGTTAAAATACTTCATTTTTCCATCTTTTCCAGCAGAATTACCTTTTTTATTACTTACTTTATATCAAACTATTGTTAAAATAACTATTAACATTTTTCCATTTCTTTTCCTCATCCTCTTTCTACAATTTACCAATCTTCACAGTCTGAGTGCCTCAGGGCAGAAAACGACCATTTCTTCTGTACTTAGCATGTTAGGAGTGCTACTGAATACAACAAAAACCATCAGAGATTGTAGGCTATTTCATCTCTTCCATAATTCAACAAAAGAAGTACAGACTTCTAAAAAAGTGTTCTTACTGGTGCACCAGTTCTCTAAGATGTGGGGCCCATTGCTACGTTAAATCCATGTATATACATATGACTTCCCACTCATAAGCGGAAGACTTTCAAGTAGATATACTCCTGCCCCACCATCCTCCAATGCTTGTTGCATGTTTTGAAGGCTTTTTAATTTCTTTGCAATTACAGAGTCTCATTAGATTTCCTAAAAAGGCTCTAAGGAATGGTAGAATCATAGGAAGGCTTACTGAGTCCTTGAATTGAAACATGTAGACAGTGTATCTGAAAACCTGTGATGGCTGCTTAAGATAATAGTATTCAAAACATTTCCTCTTCAACTTCCAGGTGACAGCCCACAAACATTCTTTATATATCTCCAGACATAAGTCTTTCAAACAACAATGACTTCAGGGCTGTGCTGCCAAACACATTAGTACTGTCTCCTCTGTGATTGGGTACTACTGGTTCAGAAGACGTTGATAAACTACCAGGTACACATTTGTTAGAGGCCAGCGGTAAAGATATTTTTTAACAAGGCCACTGACATAGTCTGAGCCCTGGAGAAATACGTTCTCATGACTGATGGGGGATCTACCTTAGCAGTTTTGTATCAGGTTGTACAGCCCACTATTCAGCTTAGCAGTGTTTGTGTGGAGAAGGCTGTTTTTCTGGATCTATCAGCCAACTACACAGAAAGAGCGAGCACTGGAAAGATCTAACCTTACTAACACACAAAAAAAATTCAGAAAACAAACTGTATAAAGGGTGTAAAGTCTGATACCCATAGCCAAAAGATTTAAAAGATCCTCAAATTCTTAAAAATGATGTTCCTTTTTTTCCCTCTTGCTGACCAAAATTAGGAATATTCTTCATACTCCAGCAAGTTTTACCATACATTAGGACTTCCTCTTACTTCTGTGTGGAAAAGAACGCTTTCTTGGAAGCTGTAGACAACACAGGGATCAGGTACAGACTGACTAGAGAAGAAGGAAGTGTAAGAGACCATTAGACTCTTCATTAGCACTGCCTGCTACAGTGAGCGCTCTCTTGCACTACATGTAATGCTGTCCTGGTCACACAGTACCTTCAATCAGATCGGAATTGTATCATTCCTGACTGAGAGTGATGGTGCATTCAGTTATATGAATATGTATTTCAATTCACTTTTGTAAAATTTGTTGTAGTGAGTACTTTCTACCATTCAGAACAATGGGAGGTGCTTATCAGGGGTCCTCAGTAGCAGATCAGTAAGAACACTTCTTACCTGTGACCCTTTCTTGCTACCTGGCAGATTAATTATGAGAGTTTTCCCTCTGATTCCACACACGGGTCTGAAAAGAAAGAAACCCAGAGTGAAATTCTCGCATGCAACTTTCGCCGCTGTAGAAACAAGAACTGAGCATTTAAGATAAATTCCATTATTTATCAGCATTGTAAACTCAATTTCCAGCATCTAAAAATATTTGCTCAGGAGAAGCTGAGCTGAAAAAGCATCAAGTAAGGCTGACAGAGTCTAACATTTAATTGATAGTATAAACACTGGCTAGATCTCCATCTTTTTTAGATCTGTGTAGCTCCCTTAATTCTATTGTTTACTTGCACCCAATACATTCTTTGATATAGTCCGTATTTGCTCATATACACGGTTGCTTTGTAACGTAATTGATGGTGTCAAACACTATTTCCCTTGCCAGGTAAAAATACTAAGTCATGCTGGTTGCATTAATTCAAATATGTCTTCTTTTTTTTTTAAAGATGCAACATAAGAAAAGCACAGAGGGAAGTATCTCTCAAGTGAAAACTGCACTTATGCAATTCATATCTCATTCTTCCTAACAGACTTTCCTTCCCCCTCAAAAAAAAGACAAAACCAACTATCAAAGATGGAAGATTTTATTTTATTTTTATCTTTAGTGAATTCCTTTGGCCTTGATGCAGGGCTGAACTTCGACACCCAAGTGCTGAATGCTTTCTGTTGTTTAGAGTTTGCCTCTTCCTCCTTCTAGCTAAATATTTTTCAAGAAAAAAAAATTAAAATTACTGGATTTTGTCTTGAGGTTGTAAAGAATGCCTCCTGCCTTTCTCCACTGTTTACGAACCCACTGGTGAAAAACCCAGGACTGGGATATAAGGATAAGAAAAAAGTAAAAGTACGAAACCAAACCACAAAGATATGGAGACTACAGTTGAGAGAAATTGTGTAACAATCTCTTTATCAAACAAAAACATGAGCCATAAGTGAAGACAGAACAGAAAATAAAATAATCTCTTGATAGGGCATTACCAAAAATTTTGAGCCCAAGGACGTGGTTTGTGGGGTAGCCAACTTCCCTGGATTTCTTCTTATACGAATAATTCTCAGTGATTAATGTCATTTATTGGTAGCATAGCATTTTCTAGCAGGGTAGCAAGTATTCTAGTGACAGCTGTCATAATGATCACAATTAAATAGCACAGAGACCACTTTTGTGCCACAAAACGAACTTTTGATATCACAGTCAAGCCAGCCTGAAGAGAAGTCTTATTTTAAACTGGCAGCTTGAATATTGCCTGACTCCTAGCCTCTGTTTTCCCATATTCACTTCTTGCACACTATATACCTTCAGTTAAGAAAGAATTCCAGGTAGTTGAGGAATGCTCTACTGCAATACAAAGATGAAGAGCCTGAGTTAAAGAAATGTGCTTATTTACTCTTGTTGCTGTAGTCAAACTGCAACAAGATTGTACAAACTCAATCCAGCAAATCCCATACGTGGGATACAGTTTATGACAGATTCAAAATAAAGGAAATAGGAATTATCCACAGGGGAATTAAAATGAAGTGGAATTGTGTTTGGCAGATAGCTCCTTTAATAATCTTCTTGGGTCTTTTATTCTGCTTTAAATAATTTTGAACGTTATAAGCTAAATGACCAGTACAACCAACCAGTAATAAAAAAGGACTAAACCAGCAGCCATTCTCCTGAAGGCTACAAGTTTTACCTGCCAATAATCACATCTAGTGGCTCAAGACAGAAATGGAGCTGCCAAAAATTTCTCAAGAGAGCATGTAAAAGTAAGTAGAAGTACCTAAGAACTGCACGGCTTGCAAAAAATATTGTGTGCGCTCACAACATAAAAGCACACAAAATGTGCATGCATTCTGGATAATTTGAGAGTTAAATTAATTATATTCCTCCAAATGCAGAACAGTTGAGGGAGATGCTGTGGATCTCATGCTATCCTCAGCTTTGTGATGCAGTGGACAGAAATTCTAAGAAAAAACAAAGAAGTCTGAGAAAGAAGAATACAAATAGAAGCAAGGGAGCGGAAGGAAAAACAGGACACGGGAGAAAGAAAAAAATGGATGTAGGAAGAAAGAAATACAGGTCTGATGCAGAAGTAGGAATAGAGAACATGATCTCTTTGGGAAAAAAACATGATCTCCCTGGGAAAAAATTATGCTGGTAAAAGCAGAATAGATGGGCAAGGAGACAGAGCGTGCTTTAAAAAGCCTCAATAAAGACTGGCACGGCATGGGTAGTTGACAAGTAAGGAACCAGGTGGAGGGAAGAGATAATTCTGGGACAAGGACAGTTTTGGAAGGTCACAGAGAAGAAAAGGAAACACTTTCAGGAAACACATAAAAAGGTCTATGACACTCTAAGATACTCTGCTGGACCTTAGGACTGAATGCAAACTGTGAGAGTCTCACTGCCCCTCATTTGCCCATAAGTATCTGTGAATCCAGTCTACAAAAAAACTCACCACTTCCTAATGCTGGCCCATAGTCAGCAAGACAGGCTATAACAATTTTTAAAAGTTCACGTGATAAAATTCAACACGATTGACCTAACATTTCCAAACCTGCAGGTGATTTATAGAAGTGTCAGCTTAATGTTGCATAATGAACTTCTGCTTTTGTTTTTTTGAAAAATCAAATAAATTACATGCAAAATTATCCATCAGAACTTCATTTCAAAATGAAGTCAATGAGAGGTAAGCCTAGGACAAGTGACATTTAATGTTAAATACTTTGAAAAATTAGGATCTACATATCTCAAACTGTGTACCTAAAATTAGTGTATTCTCTTAATATGTACCTTAGTTCTCATTGTAAGGGGGGATTACAACACTACCTCAATTTGCAGAATTTTCTGTGAAAATATATTAACAATTTGTGTCTTAGAATAAATAATCATGTAAGAAAAATCCCAGAGGAAGTGAGTCTGCATTCAGAGAAGATTCTGAATAAAGAGCACCAAAACCAATATACGATTACACATCGGACAACCAAAACAAAGAAAAGTAGATTTCCTTCCTCCATCTTAAGCATTTGCAGAGGAGTTCTACAAAAAAAGTAATCATAACACATGTGCATTTATGCAGAACTGAGATTGCACAAGAAACCATAATGCTGTAATTCTGTAATTTTTGTATACTTAACTTTATGATCTGAACAGTGTTATAAAAATAATGATTATGATTGCTGATTACTTTTAGGCCTGAAGTAAAGGTTTTCACTGGGAAATTCTTTAAGGCCTAATACGATTGCATGCAGCATCTCTGTAATGTTATCTCCCATCATTGTCATCAATTACTACCGAGAGGGGCTGTAGTTTAAGGGACATTTTCTTGCTATATGTACAGAAGAGTCAGGTTGCAATCCACCATTTTGGTTCCACTACCATTACAACATCCCTTCAGCCATCCTGATCACACCACATCCTAAATCAAACTTGGTAGCGTCATCTAAATGGCTATCCTTTTCTTGATCAGAAACAGGACAGCTAAATTAACCTCTCCTCTCCTTGTGGTAGTATTCTGTTATCCTTTCCCTTCAGATAAACACAAACTATTATATAAAAAATTGTATCAGATAAAAAGAAGAAAATACTTGCTAATTTGGACAGAATCTGAAGGTGTTAACCTGGTAATGTTGCCCTTTCAGATATGTGATACGCGATATGAAAGTTTTAAAATACCTTGCCAAATCACTAAACCTCTCATCTAAATGTCCTTTAAAAAGGCAAGTATCTAAATACAAAGTTGCAGATTTGAAAGTTCCTTCTTTATTTCTTATATAATTATTTTCTTGTTATACCCTCATTATACGAGAAATCAAAAACCTGTAACAGCCATCGTTTCTTAGTTACCTTGAAATAATGTGCAAGCACAAACTAACTTATGAAAGGTATTGATATTACTAAGTCTATCATAGGTAAATTAGGTAAATTGAAGGAATAAAATAAAAATCAACTCCAGAAAGAAATACAGGATAACAAGAGATGTCACTGATAAAAAAGAAACACCAACAGGCAGAGAAACAGTTACTAATTATTTAGTAAGAAATACCAAACCCTAGGAGTTGAAGTACTATACCTGAAAGCATGGGATAAAATAGCATTTAACTTATTCAGAGAGCTTTTGCTGATACCGGAATAAAAGCAGTATCAAAACAATACATTTGTATTTATCAAGGGTTTTTTTTGCTAAACAAAGCATTTTAGTACTTGATGAACAACATATAGAAGAATTCTTCACTCACCACCGAAATGCCACAGCTCTAGGATGAAAAGACAGCTGTTTAACAGCATGCATCAATATTACAAATAACCTGGCACAGAAAATACAGGAGGATACAGTGTCTAACGGAGACAACAAAGGGAATTAAATGAGAGAATGCAATTACCATTCTTAGAATTTGGCCACTTCTCTGAAGTTAAGACTTCTAGTCTTGATAACAATGGCAATCTTCAGTTATTTCTGTATAGTCATTTCATGACAATGTGTATTTCTAAGGAAATAGTTCACCTCATCTTTTGAAGGAAATAGTCTTACCTAGAGAGCATGCCCAGAGGGGTAACATTAAGTGATCCCATCAGCATTGCCAGGGCCATCCCTGGGGCTTCTCGCTCTATTACTTCTTTAGTGGCCTGCAATCAAAGATTAAATAGCAAAGTGAGTGAAGAAGTACAAGGACAAGAGAAATATGAAACCAGCTAAAATTTGGGTAAGAATATCTCCTTTTTTTGTTTCTGCCAAGAGACGTCCTTGCTAAATTCTCAACACTGAAATATGTTAAAGAATTTTCTCTTGGTTGTGTAAAATAGGGAAAGACAAGGGGTTGGGAAGAAGCATTGTTAGCTGTACTGTAAAGACTCCTATAGAAAATGTTAAAAGTCAGGACCCTATATATATAGGAGATGTTAACCAACACCACATAAATAACAACAACTCCTTCTAACAGAAAGGAAAAAATATTTGGGAATAAGCAAAGACAAGACCAAATGTAACTGCCTTCTCTTCCTCATCAATCTCATGTACGTTTTCCTGTTGAGATTTTCCCAGGCATGAGAAGGGTGAATCGGTCTGCGCAAAAGACAGAAAAAAAATTTGCAAAGGGAAGCCCATGTAGCAGGCAGGCAGGCAAATAGTAAAATGGTAATGATAATGGCCAGAGGCTGAGGCCTTCCCTTTTGATCATGTCAGCAAAACAGCGGTTCCAAACAGGCTGGTGGCTTTTATTCACAAGCAGTCCATATGCAGTGGGCATCGAGAAGCCTGGAAGCAGAGTCTGAAAATTCTTGTCTTTTCAGTCCTTTTTCTACACAGGGAATCAGATGGAAAATTATTTTTCTGGGATGTGCACAACCTTCTGTCCTTACTTCCTAACACAAATTTTCTCAAATGCACAGTTTGTCCAGTCTCCCAACCTCTAACTTCAGTTAGGATATAACACCTCAAAGGCAGGTTACAGTCCTACCCTCTCTTCATTTCCCTCACAGTAGTTGCTGTTCAGTGGATCATCTTGTTTCATGTTCTGAAACAAGATTCTAAGTTATTTGGCACAACTAAAATGTTAGCAATGCTCATAAAACTGTGAAATCCATTGTAAAACATCCAGCCAAACTACAACGCTTTGATGGTACAGCGATCAAAATAGAAATTGAAAAGCACATCTTAGCTCTGAATACGCTAAATTTTCTTGGCAGTTTGATATAGCAAAAGAATAAAATGGAAGAAAACCAGACAAATTATTTTGTGGGAAGGATTAAATTATAAATCACATCCTTGTACTTTTGTAAGCTCCGAGGTTACAAACAGAAAAACAAAGTCATAGAGAAGGAAAACGACAGAATTAACCCAACGGCATGCCTATGAGAAGGATCCAGGAGTCCTATACTAGCTATACAGCTAAAACATTTACAGAAAGCAATAAATAAAACCGAAAAACAATATCCCTGAAAAGCACAGATATTCAAGTGGTCATATTCTCAAACATGGCCACTAACATTTAACATGTTTTAAAAGAATACGTCAGTATCAGAAGCCATCAGACACAAACTATCAAGTAAACCTTCAGATCTTTTATTAATAAGCAAACTTGGTATGTGCTCAGTTGTGGGAAGCAGGAACTTTGGTTTATACAAAACCAAGCAATTTTAATTCAGTAGCTGACACCACAGCCTCTTTTATTTCAAGCATAGCACGTTGGTTTTAGTATCTGCCATCCTCTACTCAGAAACAGAAAACGCATATAAATACAACCCAGTGTCTGTATTTCTACACAGGGAAAATGAGAAGAAGCAGGCTAGGAGTGATGTAGACAAAATTAAAACCTCTCCACTGAGGGTGATTGCCTAAAGATACCTGCTGAGGTATTAAATTATCAATTATCACATTAAAAATTCTTAAGACTATCCATAGACCTGACGATTTTTATAGTACAGAAGAAAAAGGCATTGCAATGGTGAAGGGACACTTTGCTGACAATGAAAAAGTTGGTGAAACATGGAATTCTCTGTGTGTGCATACATAGTAAGTCTGTATCTATGCCTTTTATTTCAGCTAATACCATGCTTCAAAGCTATGCAAAAATGGTTTTAAATTTAAAGTGCATTTTGAGATTTCTTTTTTGCCCTTGAGCACAGTGACACTTTGAAGATATCATCAGTTAAAATTCTAAACAGGCTTCAAAGGTAGTACAAGATGCAAAAGAGTTCCATAAACAACAATCCTGCAGCTCAGGGAGTCCGTCAATGAAATTCAAGTCCATTCTCCAACTTCACAAGAAGAATGACCTTCACAAAATGTCACTGCTAGCAGGCAATGTGATTATTAAAAATGTATAGACTAAGCAACAAAATCTGAAAGGGCAGAAAGGCCAAACAGCAGTACAGTCCTCAACAGAAGTTTCTTAAAATAACCTGTTTCAAAATATATACGCTTATATTTATTACTGCAGGCAGACTTCTAGAAACAGGGGAATGCTTCCTGGTTTCATACTTGCAGCCTGACTGGATGGATGTAACCAAAAAAAGGCTGCTGCTAAGTAAACAACTTTTACAGTGACATCTGCTCTTGAAATCAGCCACTGGGAAGTCCACTCTTGGGATGTCCTCAAATAACACAACTTAAAATGTGCAGTGTGCAGGAACTGAAATCACCATCACATTGGGAAGCACACTCTTAATTAGCTATGCATATATGAATGAAATTAGCGGTGCTACAGTGATTTGCAGATACTTTGTGTCTATCTGTAACAACTCTTTGTTTCACCTAACAATGTACCAAAGTGCTGGTGGCCAGGTTTTCTAATACTTCTTTCAGGTTTGAAGGAAGGGTGGAAGAGAGATGGCAAAACTAGATTTTCATCTGTGTCCAGCTCAGGAGTTAACTGTCTGGTACCAACATCTACCTGCATGCAAACTATTAAAGAATTAGTGACTCAGTCCCTTCACGTTTTACCAGTATTCTACCAAGGCTGAATTAAGATTGTTAAACTTTGTTTCATGGGCAATTTTTTTCTTGGCAGTCTCACCATCAGCCAGCTTTTGCCTGCTGCAGGGGCCCATAGCGTTGGCACACAGTGAATCACAAATCAAGGTTGTTGCCCCTGGCTCTCTTACAACAGCGATGACAACACTACTATGTGGGCAGAAGCAGGAAAAATGATGAGGAGATTTCATTCAAAGCTGTCACACTGATACCTTCATCAGGACTGAAGCTATACACTTTCTCAAACCTGAGACTGAAGACTATATAAAAAGTAGGTGGACAATACTGCATAAAATACTAAAATGACAGCAAGGAAGTGTCCCCAGTTTCTTCCACATAAGGTGGTAGTGCAAAGAAGATGCATACAAGACGGAGATGGAAGGGAGGGGTTCCACAGCAGTGGAAGCATTTGAAGGTAAAGGCGAGTTCAGGAGAGACAGAAATGCAGAAAGGCCAGTTTGGAGGTGACAAAGAAAGGGGAGGTCTGTAGTTTAGATGGTAGAAGGGAATGTGGGAAGAAGGAAGCCTAAGTAGAAAGGAAGAATTGCAGAGAGGAAGTCCAAGCAGCAGGATTGTCAGAAGGGCAGGGATGAAAGTAGAGCAAGGGCAAGTGAATGAAGCGAGTGGGATGGAAATAAGACTGCACAAGGTGACTTGGATGGATAGTACATGAGGGAGAAACTCAGGAGAAGCAAAAAGGAAGACAGGACATGATAGAAGTGTCAGGCTGTGGGGGAACTAGGGAGAGAGACAATGGGACTGAAATAAAACAGTAGTTTCTACTCCAGAGAGGAGATGTAGAGACTAACAAATAAATAATTATTTCATGGAACACTTCAGAACTTCCTAACAATGTCAATGAGAGCAGTTCTTATATTTCATTGCTATATGAATAAATGCAATTTATTTTAAAACACATTTTTTATTGTTTTCGAAGTGCTTTTTATTGGAGTTAGGGCATTATGTTCCCAAACCAACTGATATATTTTTAGAGATCTTTGACGTAGTTGTGGTTGCTTAACAGATGGCTTGCTGCCAATTGGTTTCACAGAGTTCTCTGCTGCTTCACTGCCTTTCTTTGCCTCCATATAAATTAAGTTAGTTCAGCTGCTAACCTGTGGAAGCCCTCCCAGGCAGCTTCTGGAGGATATACCCACTGCAGACTGATTTAATTAAAAGACCTAGGACTACTCTTCTTGAAATGTTCAGAAATTCCTTATTTTTGTCTTTCAGGTATTAAACATAGCAAAGTTTGACCTCTTAATAGTAAATAATGATCTGAGATTTCATATACTCTTCAGCAGTTTTGGGACAGTAATATGGTTTTATCTCTTCAACTAAAATGCAAATATGAGACTGAGAAGTCATAATAAATTCAATTAAATTAAGATGACCAAGACTGCCTCTGTTGAAAATATTATTTCTGTTGAAAAAGTTCAAATCTATGACTCTGCACAGCATATCATAAAGCTATTTATGCAAATTAATGGACAAATTTGCAGATAATTTATATTTAACAGACTATAGAATTAGCATAGATAACATTTTATTACCTATTTGAGCTTGCTGTTGAAAGCAGAAGTCTTGGAAGGGCCTAACCAAAGAAATACCTATACACCCTCTGCAACAGAGCTCACAGACCACAGTCAAACTTCAGAGGACTGCACAAAGAACTATGGAGACAGATCAGTCAAATACGCAACAAAAATGTCAGTCACGTCTGTCAACCAGTTGTGTAAGAAGTGTATACTTCAGCAACAAAAATTGCACCTCTCAGCTTGGATACAAGGTACCTTCTTCAAGGTTATTCAGTATACCTCTGCTGGAGATAACATGTGCCTGTAATTTCTGTTCACAAGTCAACTGTTCCAGCTTATTCCCTACTTCCCTACTCTTATTTTGCAGGGGAGAAAATAGAGCTTACATGGAGCTAGACTGATTAGAGCTTCTCGCCTAAAAATCACTTACCTATTTCTTCTCTTAGTACAATAAAAAACACAGGTTGCAGCAGTTGGTTTCTTTCAATAGACTGAAACGTTTTTGGATAAGGATCAGTTTTGAGACACTCATTCTCACCATCATGCTGTCTTTCCTTGAATTTTTCTTATTCCCTGCCCCCAACAACCTGTGTGATGATATTCTGTCTTTTTTATGG